TACGTGCTCTGAACCCCCTCTGGTCCTGTTCAATAAATCACTTTGTCAGCTCAAACTCTTGGTGATTGATTAGAAAGAAGAATGCATCAAAATGATTCACTGAGAGGAGATGGTAATCTGACTATTTTACTGGGGTTATATATGATTCTGTTTATCATTTCCCCTTTTTCTCAGCAGAGAGACTAAAGAACTTTCTGTAGTTTTCTACCTTAAATAAAAACCATGACATTCTTTCCCTCGGTGATCTTATGGCCCAAACCTTAGGCTGGCAAGATACCATTTAAGTCATAATATAAGGAAGGCTGTGAGATGATGTATCCTAGAGCTGGTGTGGAGAAGCACGATCACTTTTCTGGCTAATGACATTGGCTTTTGCCCCAACAGCTCTGCCCCCAGTAAAGGTAATAACCACTGGCATGTTTTATTTCTTTTCTTAAATGATTAAGAAAAACGAAGTTAAAAAATAATGGAATGCTCCAGAAGGGAATATATAAAAATCCAGTGACTAATTGTTCACTTCCTCCAGAAATAGTATTCTGTCTACTAAGAATGGCCTTTAAATAGAAAAAAGGGGCTTAGATTTCTGTCACTCCATTTCATGTAAGAATACACATCAGTCACCTCGCATGGAAAATGTGGAAACTCTCTAGAGCTGTAAAATGAGAAACTATGGGCTGAATATGCAAATTGCCTTTCTAACAAGAGCAGTGCTTTTCTGTAAACCGATCTTTTTAAGAAAATTTAAGACAGCCATTTATTTCAGAGGGACCCATTTGTTTTCTGTGACTCTCGTTTTTATCTGGATTTGCCAACATGTTTCCGAGCCCCTGTAGGAGAATGGAAAACAGTTTGGTTTTGCTTGCTCAGTTATTTATTTTATTGGTGTTTGCTTTCTTTAACTATGTGACTTTCTTTCTGGGCTATAAGTCTGTGATAATTAAAAAAAAAAAAAATTATAGGAGTCTGTGCAGTGCAGTGAGAAGTAGCAAATGTCCAGCAGACCTGCATTCAATACCAACGACTTACCTAAGGCCTGGGTCACTGTGAGAAAGTGACTTAGCTGTACCCCCCCCCACCCCCTGATCTCGGCCTTTTCATTTTAAAATGGCTGCAGCAAGTGTATGTTGTTACTGAGAAGTTTGAGTGAAATCATGCGTTAGCGCAATGTCATAGGTTATTGCCAGTACACGATGCAAATAATAAATTAGCATTTTAAGCCGGGCTTCTACATGCAGCGTCAGAAAGATACTCGAAATAATTGTTCAGGCCTATTAGGCCACTGACTCATTCAACCTGGAAACAGCAGGCTCTCAACTATCTGTCTTTCTTAAATTAGTCAAACGATTAATTCCTTCTTTCTGTGGGCATAGTGTTTGGTTTTTATAGCTTTGGAAGGACACTGGAGGGAAGGGTTACTTTACAAGACACTCCAAAGGATCTTTTCACCTCCCCTACTCAGTATTTCCTCCTATCGGTAACTATGCATATTTACGATTCTAATTGCAAATTCTTTTGAGGGCTAATAAACTCCGTTGGGTTGACCGTATGGTACTTGAAGATTAAAATATGTATTTGGTTTTTTGTTGCATTTAGCAAGTTTATTACCTTATAAGAAAAAATAACTAGATTTTATAGGTATTTATATTTTTATAGTGCTTTCAATTTTGTTTCCTTTAGTCAGGATGGGGTGATGAAGTGCAGTGAAAAGAGCTGTAAAGCAAGAAGGAGGTATTTTATTCCTATTGAAGGTTCCCACGTTGATATACTTCTATCCCTTGAGCAACTTTTTTGTCTCCTTCGCTCCAGCTTCATGGTCAAGGTCATCAGAAACACCCAACACCTTTTTATAAATCCACGTGGAAACTCATAAAACAAAGCAGTTAGGAAAACCCTGGAAGGTTTAACATTCCCAGGTATGCCTGGTTCAAGGAGACATTTTGGCGTTTCCTGGATGGCTTTCAGGAATGTAATAATTTGGTTGGGAAAAGTGAATCCTAGATGGGTTACCTGACTAATAGTTGACCTTCTGATAACATAAAGCACAACGCCACCTGGAAGGAGGAACATGCAAGGTTTTTTAGGACGTATATATTATGTTTGTAGTCACGGCAATTAAAGTTAACATCAAAGTGTCTGGAAATTTTAGATTAGCTCGAACTGTAATGTTACAGACTGCCTGTGTATGTGAAAACCTCACCGAGCAGAGCATAATACAACTCGAGTGCCTTCCAGTGTTTCTCAATTTTTGTCCATTTCTCCCTATTTCTCTGTTGTTCTTCCTCAAATTTATAGGAGTATTTCCGGACTTGGGACTCCCATTTTATGGTCAGTCAGTTCTCCCTAATGAGTCCGTAACAAACTGTCTTGTGGTTTTCTGACAGTTCAGAGTTATATTAAAAATACCTTGTTTGGGGAATTTTTGCGTATGATTTCCTACTGCAAGTAATAAAAGGCCAATTATTCTGTATAATTATTAGTTACAGCCCTTAACACAGTCGGGTATACAGGGACGCAATCAAGAGTTGCTGGGTACTGAAATAAGTGAAGTCAATGACAAAATAGAACTTTCCAGTCAGTCAGTCAGTCATTCACAGGCACATCCCCTCTGGAACTTCGATGGCGTGCCTCGTATATACAACACATGGTTCGACACTTTGTTTTTTTTTTGTTTTTTTTTTTTTTAATTTTTTTTTCAACGTTTATTTATTTTTTTGGGACAGAGAGAGACAGAGCATGAACGGGGGAGGGGCAGAGAGAGAGGGAGACACAGAATCGGAAACAGGCTCCAGGCTCCGAGCCATCAGCCCAGAGCCCGACGCGGGGCTCGAACTCACGGACCGCGAGATCGTGACCTGGCTGAAGTCGGACGCTCAACTGACTGTGCCACCCAGGCGCCCCATGGTTCGACACTTTGAATACAAAAACGTACCTCTGCCCCAGCTTTTTGGGAGCACGTGGTTTAGTGACACTAAAGCTTCATAGAACCGGCAACTAAAGCTTATAATACATTCAGAATAATATTTTATCATAGAGGATGTAGAGAATAATTCTACCGTGGCTGGAGAGTGGGGACACATGAATATTCGGCACCGGTGTGTAAAGAAATATCGGGAAGAGGTTGGTAGGCAGAAAATAGGGATGGTCATTTTTGTGTAACTAATGTCATAGGCATGAAGGATGGCATTTTGTAAAGTAAGTGTGAAATAGACAGAAGAAGAAGAATTTGCCCGTTCGTGATTTTTAAGCTTTTTAAAAAAAAAATTATAATTATTTGGAAGTCAGTTAAAAATTGTAGTAGGATTGTTAAATTTGTGTCTTAGAAATATAACTTTGGGGGCACCTGGATGGCTCAGAAGGTTGAGCGTCCGACTTCGGCTGGGGTCATGATCTCGCGGTCTGTGAGTTCGAGCCCCGCATCGGGCTCTGGGCTGATGGCTCAGAGCCTGGAGCCCGCTTCGGATTCTGTGTCTCCCTCTCTCTCTGCCCCGCCCCCGCTCATGCTCCGTCTCTCTCTCTCTCTCTGTTAAAAATAAATAAACATTAAAAAAAAAAAAAGAAATATAACTTTGACTGGGCCGGGCTGTGGGAATGAACTGGAAAGTAAGAACCTAGGACATATCCAGGGCCGGCAGGAGACTGCTGAAATATCATAGACCTGTCAGAGATGGAAAAGAACCATTCTGAAGGTGAAATTAATAAAGGTCAGTACCCCATTAAGAACATTGAGGACAAAAGATAAATTTCTTTTAATTTGAAACATTGAAACTTTTAAATTTAGGGCAGACATACTGAATCTGAGAAAGTTTTGTTTTATGGGATTCAGAGTTTATGAAGAAATGAGCAAAATGAATATAGAGATGGAAGCGATTGATTTGTACGTGAACGCGTGTCTTTGGTTTACATCCATACCGCATTAATGACAGAAGGGTATAGAAGAGGAACTCTCCCATACATAGCCTTGCGTGTTAGAAAACACTTAGTCACTTAGTAAGTATTTGTGAGGATGCCTTCTGTATTTCAGAACTATTCCAGATATCCCTGTCACAAAGCACAGATTTTTTTTTTTTCTTTATATCACTTCTTTTGCTGAGACATTACGTCCTGGTGTCATGGTTTCATTGACACATATTTTCAACACTGAGCCTCACTCTTTTGTTCACTGTTGTGTCCCCAGGGCCCTTAACAGTGTCTGGGACAAAGTCAAAGGCCAGGGTGTAGGTAATGCCAAACTGATGGCATGCATGGACAGATGACTTCTTTTCAAACTTATCTGTAGCTAAATTAACTGCTTGTGATTTTTTAATGTCCATCGGAACAGAGTCAAATAGTATCTGTTGATCATAAAACAGCATCATCGGCAGCAGCATTATATTGTGGAAGGGTCAGAGCCTTGGGAACTAGAGAGACCCCGTCTGATCTCCAGTTTATACTCGCGGAGCCTTAGTTTCATCATCTGAATAGGATGATAAAACTTTGTAGAGTAGTTGGGAGTATTTAAAAATAATCTACGGTGTAGGTTGCATGGGACATTGTTACCCATTAAATGTTAATTTAATTTTTATTTATGTGGACTTAACTAAATGGCTTTGGCTCTATGTTGTGGTGAGAATAATCATAGATTAGCGCCCTTTCTTTAAATTTTTTTTTTTAACATGCTCTACTTGAAAAAGGAAGCAATGTGGTTATGGGAAGGGATTTAAACAAAGTGAAATCAGAGACTATCTTTCGACACCATTTCTGTTTCCATTACTATTAATTCAAACAAGTTATTATCCTCCATGTATGTCCATGAAGAAAGGAAAATAACACTTGAAAAAAATATTAAGCACGGTTTGATGTTAGTTGTACATCTTTATTTCCTGCTATCCCCAGGAGAAAAATCCTAAGACTGAGTGTAATCAAGACTGTCTTGTGAGACTAGAGAGAGAGGCTGGTACTCACTGAACTACTTGCGTGTTTCGATCTGCGGAAATGACCGCGGCTTTGTTGTTACTTTACAGATCTACCTACGTTTCTTGGACTACGAGATGCAGAATTCCAATGAATGCAAAAGGAACTTTGTGGCCGTGTATGATGGGAGCAGTTCCGTGGGGGACCTCAAGGCTAAGTTCTGCAGCACTGTGGCCAATGACGTCATGCTCCGCACAGGTCTTGGGGTCATCCGCATGTGGGCCGATGAGGGCAGTCGAAACAGCAGATTTCAGATGCTGTTCACATCCTTCCAAGAACGTAAGATTCTCTGCACTTGACTGTCCTTCACATATGTCATATGATGCAAGTCTCGTAAGCCGCTAATGGTGTTTTGTCCATGCAGCGTGAGCACAGTGGGGTGCGTTGTAACAAGGTGTTAATAACACTGAGATTCCCTTTCCTTCATTCTGATCCAGCGATGGGAGAGAGTTACCTATTACATTCTGCTTCCTTATTTTAGCATATGCATGATAGCCTTGGTTAAGACAGTTCCCGCATCGACTGGGAAATGAGGATTTTGTTTGTCTCTGGTTTAGCTCTTACGAAGCGTCTGGAACTTCAGCAGCTTCTGATGAAGTTTGAGTTTAAGTCTTAAAAACCTGCATAAAAATATTTGGTAGGTTCTCTTTAGTAAGCTTCTCTTGCAATTCCATTTATTGCAAATAGGTCTGAGACGACTGAGTTCCCATTAAAGTAAGCAAAGAGAGAGAATTGCTTGGGAGGAGAGTAAATAGAAAAAGTTTCAGAAAATATTTAAAATGGCACCATGGGTGATATCCAGAGTTATGTGCAAACCGCAGCAATTTTAGAAAATTATGTTCTAACAAATAATGAGTCACATTAATAGATATATTTGGAATGTTCTTCAGAAACCCTGAATAATTCATGTTTAATAAATTTATACAAATGAAAAAAAAATAATCCTGAAAAATTCTGCTTTAGGAAATCAGCAGCCTGTATTTTGAAACTATATATTTATAAATAGAAAAAATAGTTTTGAAATCGCCAGAATTTCTCAGTGATTGGCACAGCATCCAATATTTTTTCAATTCATAAATATGAAATATATTAGACAATTCTTTCATGTAGTGAATAGGTTTGGCTTTAAATTCCTGTCTGATTACCCAGTTGGAGAATTCTGGGACCCTGGAAGTGGCAAACGTCTCAGTCTTTGTCAATCTTGATTCCACCGTGGAGTGCATTATCTTTCCTGGGATTACTGCAGATTGAAACAGCATGTTGCTATCGTGTCCTCATTTCAACAGTTGATCAAAATGTTAGAGGTAGTGCATTTTTATGTCAGCAAGATATTGGGCCAAAAAAAAAAAAATGTTGTCATTTTCTTGGTTAGAGTGGGAAGAAATTCAGACTACAAGGTCAGCCCATTTGGTGTCCTTGCTGATTACCCCACTGTCACCAATAGGTTTTGCCTTTGGTGGGGGTGGGGGTTAAAGGTACTTATTTGATATGCTTATCAATCTTGGGTGATAATATGTTGAAAACTCGTATTTCATTTAAAAGATACACATAAGGAAGGGCTAGCTAATATGTTAGATAATATGATCAATTTTTTTAAAAGATCACAAAAATCTATTTTTATCAACACGATACCGTAAAATGCAATGGGGATAAAAATGAAAAAATACATCCTTAGGTTTCAAGTATCAACTAAAACAACAATAGTACAGAAGAGCCCTCCTCCTAGGACTTCCTAAAGTTTTATTTCATTCAAACACAGTATGAGCTAAAGCTTGTTTTTGTTTTTTTTTAACAATTGGCAAAAAATATCTTTTGCAGTATTAGCTTCTATGAAGGAAAGGTAGGTAAACAACTCAAAGAAGGTAGGCTCTTGGGGAGCCTCACTGGTCAAACTGTAGATTGCAGCACCTATTCTGTTCTGGGTATTGTTAATAAGGAGGATCATCCATGGGAAGTGGCTGGCCAGGATGCAGAAGCAACTAGAATCATGAGACAAAGTCAAAGGAAGAGCGGCATAGTTTATCTGAGAGATTTTGTTGTTGTTTTGTTCTAAATGTGATCACTACCTGAGACGCTGGTGATATGGATTGATGTCTGGAAGGTGAGATTTGTTTGTTAAATTGTAGGGAAACGTTGGAGCGATACTTAGGAAAAACGTGTAGCTCACAGGATGTGTGGTATTCCCAAACTGAATGGATTCCCAGAGAGGGTACAGGCTCTGGCTAGGTGGCAGTCAGTCTGAAAATGGGTCCCCAGGTGGTGTGAATGGTGTAGGGGAATGTCTGAGTTTTGTAGGGAACAAACTGGTAAACTTCACTGATCCCGTTCAACTCTAACACTGATTGAGTTCCATGAGTCTTTAGGATCCTGCTGGTACCAGAAATGGTGCATTATGTCATACTGTGCAGATGCCATTGGAAGTATTTCTATTTGAGCTGAAAGAAAGAGTTTTCATGCAGGTATGTAAACGATCTCCAGAAGTCCTTCAAGTGGCTGGACTTTTCGAAGTTGAATCCAGAAAAAACATGGCATCCGTCCTCCATAGGAGCAAAGCATCCCAATTTTTATGTTCCTGCACAGTGGACGGCTTATCACGGTCACGTCAGTGACAGGTGGTACAGTAGCATTCTCTGTGTTTAGCTCATAAAGTTTACAATAGCTTTGATTAGAACAAATTTATCGTCCATGTCATGTTTCCTCTGTAGCTTTTTGATATTTTGCATTGTATTTTTTTATTTTTGGCTGAAACTGGTTGGACTTCAACCATGACATGCCAAGGATCAAAGGCATTGTGTGATGACGTGTGTGGGTATGGACCAAACCTTTCTGTATCAGAGTCAAAGTATTCCAGATAAGAGATGAAAATTTCAAAAAAACAAGAAATGAACTTTGATCAGTGCTAATACTTCGGTGATGTTACTGAGTGGCTCAGGTCATTTTAAGGACTTTAATGAGGAAATAAAGGAACTCTATTTGTGGCGTTTGAAGTTCCCCAAATGGTATTGTTCTAGTCCATATTGGTGGCTAAGAAAGTATTTTGCATTACCTTTTTGTTTTCTTGATGACGATAGGTATAACACTTATATAGTATATATATCATATATATAAACATAGTTTATATGTAATATACTCTCTTATTTATATTATATAATCCATATGTAATATTAATAATATACATGCCTCTAATCTTACTCCATACACATCCACACACATATGGAGTGAAAACTATTGGTGTGAAATCAACGACCAGCTTTGTCTTACTCAAATAATAAGAAACCACTTTGACGTTTTTCTTGGTTCTTAGCATTTTTTAGGCAGTATGCTCAGTGCAGCGTTGAGAAGTGCTTACAGCACATTCAACAATATTCTAATATATGTCAAAAGGTCTCATGTTGGGACCATACGATGTATTTTTTTGAGTAGAGTTGACACCCAATGTTCCATTAGTTTCAGGTGGACAACTTAGTGATTTGACAAGTTTGTCCATGATGCTATGCTCACCACAAGTGTAGGTCCCCTCTGCCCTACTACACCACTGTCACAATATCAGTGACTCTGTTCCTTATGTTCTGCCTTTTAGTCCTGTGACTTACTCAAGTCCATAACTGAAAACCTGTATCTCCCCCCTTCTTCGCCCATTTTGTCCATCCCCCCAACCCATCCCCTCTGGCGACTATCCGTTCATTCTCGGTACGTATAGGTCTGATTCTGGTTTTTGTTTGTTATATTTTTAGATGTTAAAGGAGAGCTCAGGGACTGTCTCTTCTAATCCCAAACATTTTGTGAATTCAGACAGAATCAGAAAAGATCCAGGGAAGGTAACTGACTTTCCCTGCGCACCCAAAACTCCATGCTTAGTATTGAACAGTCCCGTGGCAAGGATCGAAGAGCTGATTCTGAAGCTCATAAGTTCTCTTGTGGATGACTTTGTCACTTGTAAGGAATGGACAGAGCTCCCATTTTCTAAAGATGATGAATGATAAAGATGACGATAACAATAGGGAACACTTCTACATCAGTCATATAGCTCAGGCATGTCAACACTGGTTTATGTGCTTTTCAACCTGAATCTTGATGCCTCTGTCCTATCCGCTGTGCCTTCTGTCTACATGTTGCACAAACATGCTATAATCCTACAGTACTCCACTTTCCTATGCCCTACAAGATTAGACTCAAGTAAAATTATAACCAGGGACTTCTGCTCTGGAACATACTAAGCTAGAGACTAATGGATGCTAAACTGGTGCTGATTTGTTACACATCAATGGGAAACTACTGCAGGTTTTGGTACTGAAACTGAGGTGTCACCCTAACAAATATCTAAAATGTGGAAGCGGCATGGGATCAGGCAGTGGTCATAGGTTGGTAGAATTTTGAGGAGCATGCTAGAAAAGGCCTGCATTGCGTTAGATGGGCAGAATAAATCTGGACTCCGAGGGCTGCTGGGGAGGGCTGGGACGGAACCGGGGGAAGGAAATCGTTGTTTTGCCGTGGTGGAAAGCTCAGAGAAATTGTCCTGCAGGACCTGCTGAGGGACCAACACTGGCTACGTGACTAAGTAAATTACTGCAGAGAGTGTTGAAGGCATAGCCTGGCATCTCTTGCTGCTTGCAGTAGCTTGTGAGAGGGAAGAAGCAAATCGAGGGGAGAACCCATGAGCAAAAAGCAATCAGGACCCGAAGGTTTTGAAAACTGCCAGCCTCTCCAGGTGGCAGAGATGTTAAAAGTCAGAAGTGACTGCCAAACGCATGGCAGGGGATGAGGCTGAATGTGTGACCGTATAGCCTCTGCTAAATCGCCAGAGACAGCAGAAGAGCACAGTGTCGGTAACAGAAGGGCCCTTTCCGGAGGTTGGAGGTGTGCCTCACAGATCTTCCAGACTGGAGGGCATCCAGGAGGACTAGGGCGCTGACCCTCAGCCACCTCAGCAGGACCCATGGGGAGAGACAGGATTGCATCAGAGACTTTGGGTGAGCATCTGTCTGAGAGCAAAACCCAGTGAATTTCAAGCCAGGGCCACGGGCTTCTTGAGAAGACCCCTTCAGCAGAAACTCTTTTGGTTTGGGCTGAAAGAGGCAGAGTACCGATGAAGAGACATCGTCAGAACCCCCAAGTTCTTGTGGCATGGAGCCATCAGATAAAAGTGCCCAACTGCAAACGTATGTCACCATTCATAGAAAGGAAGAGTGACAGCACAGCACCACGAGCCTGGAGGGTGAGGCTCATAGAGACAGAGGGTTTTTCCTAGAAATGGAAACACAGTACCAAGAAATCCAGCA